TAAGTCATGGATGTTTAAAGTTTAACGTCATCATTGTCTAATATTATAGTTGACTTTTCATTCAGGAAGTATGACGCTGCGCTGTCAGTACGCTTCTCCATGTTTGTGATTGGTCGATTCCTCCAAATACCACCCCTTTCATGTGAACGCGCACCTAACTAGATAGGACACGGCTGGCTTGAGCGATACACTTGATAACCCGTGTCGTAGTACCGTTTAGCGAGAGTGCGTATGTTTTGGATTAGACCAACCGGCTAACTCAAACATATCCAGGTTAGGTTGAACCAGCTTTCGTAGTAAAGGCCTCTGGTGATATGGTTTATGTATTTATCGAATTTGAGCTGGCTGTCAAAGATTACTCCAAGGTTGCGAATGTGAGGAGAGGGGGTTAGAGTGGTGTTGTCAAGGGTGAAGTTGAAGTTCTGGGTGGTGTTGGTGCGGGATGTGGGTCCGATTATGATATCTGATTTGTCGCTGTTCAGTTTAAGGTAGTTTGTTTGCATCCAGGACTTAATTTCTGAGAGACAGTTGGTGAGTGTGGAGTGAGTTGTGGCAGTGATGATTTTTGTGGAGATGTAGAGTTGGATGTCATCCGTGTAGCAGTGATACTGGAGGTTGTGGCGGCGGATGATTTTTCCAAGGGGAAGCATATAGAGGATGAAGAGGAGGGGACCAAGCACCGAACCCTGGAGGACGCCTCGGGACAGAGGGGCAGTGGATGAAGAGCAGTTATTGATGTGGATGAACTGGTGTCTGTTGGTGAGGTATGATTTCAGCCAGGAGAGTGCAGTGTCAGTGATGATTCCAGGCGGGACAGCAGGATGGTGTGGTTGATGGTGTCGAGTGCTGCTGTGAGGTCGAGGAGGATGAGGATGTTGAGATTGCCGGAGTCTGAGGAGAGGAGGAGGTCGTTAGTGATTCTGAGGAGGGCTGTATCTGCGCTGTGCTTTGTGTGGAATCCTGATTGAAAGGGTTCAAAGGGTTATTGGAGCTAAGATGGGATTTCAGTTGGGAGGCTACAACACGTTCGAGTAGTTTTGATGGGAAGGGGAGATTGGAGATGGGCCGGAAGTTGGACATGATGTCAGGTGTGAGTCCAGGTTTTTTCAGTATGGGTGTAATCTGATTATTTTACTCTCTGTGTGCTTCCATAACAGAGATGCTTAAGATACAATCACACATACCAGTGTCACACATGTTTATTATGTATTTTTATGAATTGTGCAGCCAGTAGACATGCTGTATTTTGACTAAGGATACACAATTTGAATGCATGGAAAAAAGTGCACTGTGCATTAGATATTAAGTCATATAGCGTTTACATATAGAGTAGTATAACACAAAATATGTACTTTAACAAGATGATGTTTTGGCACCTACTGTCTACTTTCTAACTGCATATCCTTTTATAATACTGATTCCTTGTTAGGACAAATACTGTATGTCTCTGATATTGAACAACTGTGCTTTAGATCAGGGGTTCCCAAAGTGGGGGTCGCGACATGATTACAAAATAAAAATGAAAATAAAATTTTTTTAAAAATTGATTAATTTTTTTTTTTAAATTATTAATAATAATAACGTTTGCATAGACATTTTCAGGAGCGGACTAGCCATCTGTATAATTTCCCCGCAACGAGGCTCCCCCTTTGACAATCCACTAGCGCAGTGTTTGTGCGGAAAACTGAAATTAATTCACTAGCACCCCGTTCCCCCCCCGTCGACAGGGGGTCGCCAGTCTCTGGCACTGTTATTTTGAGGGTCGCGGGCTGAAAAGTTTGGGAACCCTTGCTTTAGATGATTACATGTATGTCATCAACACTCTCTTGGAGCCTGGATGTACGTACAAACCCAGGAGTTCTTTTTCTTAAACTCATATCTGTCTCCACCTGTCTGTCTGTGTGTCTGCAGGAGGATTTAAAGGTTGCGGTCACGGTCACAAAGGACACCCGGGGAAGCCTCACTGGTCTTGTTGCAGCAGCTTCGTGGAGCAGTCGGAGTGTTTGCCTCAGAGCGTGATAGCTGCGATTTCCCCCCGCGGGCACCTGCGCACCGTGGAGCTCTGAGGAGGCGAGACACGTACAGAGGACGCACCGTAATAAAGGAGCGCAGCAACAAAAACGTTAGCATAGCGGGGGAGCACGTGTTGGTGTCAATGTTAAGAAGGTCAGACAGGAAGGTGAAGTTCTAAAGACACGGTGGCTGAAGCAGGACATCAAAGAATGTTAGTCTGAAAGTGATTACCTCCAGCCCACCATTCGAGGACTATATCAGTGTGGGCTCTGGATCTAAAGCCCTTTCACCCATACACTGAAAACCTTGAACTAAACATGACATTACCTGGAGGAACTGTGTGAGAGAACTGAATATCAGACATTGAACTGACTTCAACCTGCAAGATCCCCGAAACACGTAAGACTATTTAATGTCGATTGTGAATGGAGCTGCTCATTGACCGGAGAATTTAGAGCTTGCAAATGTATGTATTTATGACGTTGGTATAAAACTGCTGCAAAAACACGGAAGAAAAAAAATTGGAGGGTGTAAAATAGGGGTGTTTTCTACGAATCACAAATATCTAACTTGAAAGACAACGGGATTCAAGACCTTCTGTTCGTAAGTGCCTACGAAGTAATAAAACGGACGAATTCAAGGAACGGCAAAAGACTCCATTATATCACAAAAATACCAACCACAGGACGGTTGTATAATCCGCCTCAAGTTGAGCCTCGTCTAAACTTTGCAAAGTATTTCCAGAAAGTGAGAACGGTGCTGAAAGGGAGTTGAGTTGAGTTCCTTCAACTGAACAGCTGATGTTGTAAAGTGCCTTAAGTATCTAAGCTGTGCCTATGACCTAAAAAAAGATAGAACTGCTTCGACATTCAAATCTTCCAGTTTAATTAATATATAGCTTTAAAGTATTTTAAATAAAAGAATGTAGACTTTATTCATATCATTTAGTCAGGGAAAGTATATTTAGGAATAAAGTGCCATCAAAACACAGTGACTCATTTTCAAACAGTGTCGCCATTACAGAGTTTATCTAGAGTTCAATGACGATACGTTTAATCTTCAATTGTAAAATGTCCTAATCAGTTAGACTGAACATTTCAAAACATTTTTCAAAAAATAACAAAGTGCTGTTACAGTTACATGTTTCGTTTGTTTGTACACACATACCTAATGTAGTTGTTATGGGCACACACTTGGTAATCTAGAAGTCTTCCTAATAACTATAGATCATTGTGATATTATTAATATTCAGTCGTATCTAAAGTTCACTTGAGGAAATTGAAATGTAAAACTTTGTAATTAATGCCTTTTAAGTAGTAATATTAACAACAGGTACTTTTTTGTACACTTTTAATAATTTCAAAATGATAATTACCTCAAAACATTACCATATACTTTTGCATTATTTACACTTAATGTAACATTATTTAATGGCACATTTGCTTAAAAGAGACAATCAATACCTAGTCAATGCAATGCTGTTATATACACTCTATTGATGAGCTGATGCATAAAGCGTGGTGCCACACACTGTTTACAAAAAGTCAGTTTTCATTGCTATATTTTCCACAATCAAGTCAAAAGCACTGAGCTGGACTACACTGTGCCTTTTTAAATTAAGAAATATTTCATTATTTTAAGATTTGTCATAATGTGAAACATGTATTTTTTGTAAACAACCTAATCTTGCTTTTGTTCTGTGCAGGTAAAGACTTTGCATATTGTGTTTTTCCTTCAGCTTTGCAACCTAGCTCTACTCTGCTCTCTCTGGGAATCACTGACCTAGACGCTGCAGTCGGCCTCCCCTTTGAATACAAAGTTGTTCCTCTCCAGACGCTTTTATAGCACTGACTTAAAACCAGACACATGAAACTTTAAAAGAGCCAATATAGCCTGTTTTAGATTTTCTGTATTCTAAGATGACTTTTTTAGTGTGACAGCAAATGGTTGAAAAAAAAGAAGACGCTGACGGCCAAAATGATTAAGTCAAGGCTTCCAATGTGAGATGTCACAATGACAACTTCCATATCTTGCTAACATAAACAATATTTGTTTTATTCTTGTTGTAAAGATGAATGGTATGATAGACCTATGCAAATACTTGTGGAGACATGAGGACAAATCTTTTTGATTTGCGGTCCAAGATCTAAGAATCAACCAGCTGCTGTTCAATTTGTGAACCGTTTCACACTCACTATACATTCATCTAAAGAGTTTATTCTGAATGCTTCCCAATATTTTTACTGGACAATTTATCCTGTACGAGCAAAATAAAGTCTTATTTCTCAGTTTCCCTGACTTGCCCTATTCTTTGATGGAACTGTAGTAACAGCTGACCTTTGATCATTTGCATGTTTGCCCTTCTGAAATAAAATAAAAAATCTGATTTATTTTTATTTTCAAACCAAAAACAAATGGTTTTATTTGTACCTGTTAGAACGTGGTGAGAACAAAGCCAACATACCTGGATCATATACTCAAAATAACTATTACAAGAACATGATTTTGTCATTTTCTTTAATTTATCTGAACATATGTCCTGTAGGAAGAATCGTAGATAATATTCAATTATTCAGTGGCTGCATATTTCAACATATGGGAATCTTTTTAAAGTTAATTGAGTGTGGTAGCCCCTCTCCCAGGCACCAGGTGGCAGCAGAGAGCTACCGTTTTATTTAACAACCCTTGTCCCTCTGTCTGTGACGTTAACATTTCCCTGCTTGTTCTTACAAATCATTCATAATCTGCGTTCTCTAACGCCGTGTTTACTGGAGCAGTGCGGTGCCAAGAGGCTGCTGATGAATTCTGCATTATCATGAAAAATGTCTTAAGTGCCTCAAGATCGACTCCCTTAATATGAATGTTTGATGAACGGTGGCCTGTTCCACTAAAACCCATCACAGAGCAGCTGTGGCACTGCCTAATAACACACAGTAGTTGTTCAATTTGGAGGTCACTGCGGACACACACACACACATACACACACTTTTATTAAATGAGGGCAGTTCAGTCAGACAACTCACGTGTTCTTTAACATTTTTATTAGAAGCAGCATATATAGTTGAGTTTGGCGTCTAGGCTCGGGTCTCATCACTCCACAGATATACATAGCACGATGACTAACCCCCCGGGCCTACAGGTGGAAGCTGGGGTGGTGGTGGGGCAGGCAAGCAGCAGTGACGTGGAAGTAGCTGCAGCAATAGCAGCAGCAAGCAATGCATAGAGACTAGAGAGATATCTGGCAGGTTAAATAGAGCGGCATATTAAGGAGACTCTGTTTGTTTGTTTGTTTGGTTGGTTGTAGATGGGCAAGGGGCGTTATGTATGAATGCAGCATAAGTGCTCGAGTTGACTGCCTGAACTAGCTCGGCTAGGCTTTGCCCCCTGTGTGGGTGAAAGATGATTGAGTGGCTCGAAAACTGCCTTATTATAGATTTCCCACTTCCTTCACTCCCTCCCTTCTTTCAGGGAAGTCAATTCAGAAGGAGCTCGTGCGCGCGCGCACACACACACACACACACACACACACACACACACACACACACACACACACACACACACACACACACTCAACACACACTGAACAATCGACTGCATATGTCAGGAGGCTCATGATGGCTGCAAACCCCAGAGGGAACATCTCATAAACCTCCTTCACCCGCCATTGAGCTCTGGACTAATGTTCCTTGTAATAGACAGAACAGGGATCATGATACAATATTCTTTCACTGACACATTTTCTTTTGTTTAATCTTTTATATTTTATGTTGCTTGTGTTTGAATGGTTAGCTTGTTACACGTATAATAATAATTGTTTAATACATTATTTTTGTTTATTTGCACTTTGTTTTTCACTTTGCACTCTCTGCTTCTGTGAATATATGGGAATATTTATTTACAAAAATATACATAGAGGATATGCACTTGTGTGTTATCACATGCAAAACAGCATTTCACATACATTCACAGTTAGATGTTTTAGGTGTAAAAAAAAAGCTATATTTTTACAAAAAATCATAATTCATACTGCCCTTTTTAAAATAGAATTTAAAAGAAAACCCAAAAACAATACATGAAGCAAGGATATCGGCCGATGCTCTTTGTAAAAAAAACAAAAGTTGTTGTCATTTTTGCAGAAAAATAACTCAGTGCGGTCATCCTCTCATTATTAAATGTAAAAAATTGCTTAAATATAAAAACTAAAGACAAGGACACAATACATCTGAAGAGAAATCTGAGCAGAGATGCAGGTATCCGCATCATGTCTCCTCAGATCCAGTGTTGTGACAGCAGCTGACATATCTTTATCTGTAAGCTGCAAGAGAGCAGCACTGGCTTTATCATTGTCAACACACACACACACACACACACACACACACACACACACACACACACACACACACACACACACACACACACACACGACACCAACACCTGACCGACACTTGGACG